TCTGAATGGGGAAAAATTGAAGGCCTTCCCCTTAAGGACAGGAACAAGACAAGGATGTCCACTCTCACCACTTTTATTCAACATAATACTGGAGGTACTAGCTGAGCAATCAGCCAAGAGAAAGAAATAAAGGGAATCCAGACTGAAAAAGATGAAGTCAAACTTTCTTTATTTACAGATGACATGATACTATATATAGAAAAACCTAAAGACTCTATCAAAAAACTCCTAGAGCTGGTTAATAACTTCAGTAACATTGCAGGATACAAAATAAATGCCAAAACTCAGCAGCATTTATATACTCAAATAATGAATTAACAGAAAGAGAAATAAAGAAAGCCCATTTACAATTGTCACCAAAAAAAATACGATACCTAGGGATCCATTTAACCAAAGAGGTGAAAGACCTCTACAATGAGAATTACAAACCACTTCTGAGAGAAATTAAAGAAGACACAAAAAGATGGAAAGATATTCCATGCTCTTGGATTGGAAGAATTAACATTGTGTCTATACTACCCAAAGTGATCTACAGATTCAATGCAATCCCCATCAAAATACCAATGACATTCTTCACAGAAATGGATAAAACAATCTTACCTTTCATATGGAAAAACAAAAGACCCCGAATAGCCAAAGCAATCCTGAGCAAAAAAAAACAAAGCCAGAGGCATAACTCTGCCTGACTTCAAATTATACTACAAAGCTGTTGTAACCAAAACAGCATGGTACTCGGATAAAAATAGACATTCAGGCCAGTGGAGTCAAATAGAGAACGAAGAAATCACTCCTCAGGCTTACAGCCATCTGATATTAGACAAAGGCAGCAAAAATCTACATTGGGGAAAAGATTGTCTCTTCAATAAGTGGTGCTGGGAAAACTAGATTTCCATATGCAGAAGAATGAAACAAGATTTCATCTCTCACCATATACTAAAATCAATTCAAAATGGATTAAAGACCAAAGTATAAGACCCCAAACTGTAAAATTCCTAAGGGAAAATATAGGTGAAACACTTCAGCAGTTAGGTCTGGGCACAGGCTTTATGAACATGAGCCTGAAAGCACAAGCAGCAAAAGGAAAAATAAATGGGACTATATCAAACTAAAAAGTTTCTGCACAGCAAAAGAAACAATCAACAGAGAAGACAACCTACAGAGTGGGAGAAAATTTTTACCAACTATGCATCCGACAAGGGACTAATATCGAAAATATACATAGAACTCAAGCAATTATACAGTAAAAAAATAAACGACCCAATTAAAAAATGGGCAAAGGAGCTTACAGACATTTTCAAAGGAAGACATACAAATGGACAACAGGTACATGAAAAAATGGTCGACATCACTAGTCATCAGGGAAATGCACATTAAAACTACACTGACATACCACCTCACCCCAGTTAGACTGGCTACAATCAAAAAGACAGTGAAGAACAAATGCTGGCGAGGGTGTGGAGAGAAGAGAACGCTCCTGCACTGTTGGTGGGACTGTAAATTAGTACAACCACTTTGGAAAACAATTTGGAGGTTTCTCAAACAACTACAAATAGATCTTCCATATGATCCAGCAATCTCTCTTCTGGGTATATATCCAGAGGAATGGAAATCATCATGTTGAATAGATACCTGCACTCCCATGTTTACTGCAGCTCTGTTTACAATAACTAAGATATGGAACCAACCTAAATGTCCATTAATAAATGATTGGATAAGGAAACTGTGGTGTATATACACTATGGAATACTACTCTGCCATAAAAGAGAATGAAATACTCCCATTGCAACAACATGGATGAACCTGGAGAAACTTATGTTGAGTGAAACAAGCAAAGCACAGAGGGAAAAATACCTCATGTGCTCACTCATATGTGAGAGCTAAGAGAGAAAGGAAGGCAGGAAAGAAAGACCACAGTAGTGCCCTGATCCAACAGAGGGAAGGAACATTCCTAGCGTGACAAATTGGAGTTTAGGGGAGAGGGGGCAGGGGAAAGAAGGTTGGGGGATAATTGGGAGGGGACAAAGGGTAAAAACGTAATTTCTGGTAATGGATATGCCCCAGTATGAATCTGGCCCCCACATCATGGGCAGGAGGGGGGACAATCAGCTTTGTATCTCATGAATATTTGTAATAAATAAATAAATTTTCAAAATAAAATAAAAAAATAAAACCACTGATTAGGAGAGACTCTTAGAAGCCAGATATTTATTCTGTTTTCAAGGAGCTAACAGTTTAGAAAGATAAATAAAAAGTACTTGAATAAACAGGGTTTCAATATATGGAAAAGAGGAACAGGCATTCCAGGGGGAGGTAAAACGGCCGGATTAAGTTTTTGTGAAAATATGATCAGCTATATAAAAGGAACTCTCTGTGGCCAGCTAGTACACATACCATTTGAAAATTGTCTGGTTAATCGGTTCTGTGTTCAGTTAATCTAGATAGCATAGGTTCCAAAATATATGTTTTTAAGCTTGCATTATCAAGTTGGTTAATTTTGACTAAATTAAGGAGGTAGTTGCTACATTTCTCCTGTATTTCTATTATTTAAAACAAACAATAGAGGGCTGAAAGTCTTAAAGGTAGTTTTGAGAAAATCCCTTTAGAAATCATGTTCTACTTGTACTGTGAATGTATAGGCTTTCTTTGTCTTTGTGCAGCCTCCCTAAATAAAACATCTTATTTCTTCATGTTCACTTTCTCCATCAAAACCTCACCACTCTATAAAATGAGCTGCAAACTCTGTTTCCAACTAGCAGAAATCCTGTGAAGAGCTACAAATATGTCAACTATTTTATTCCTGTTTTTTCAGTTGCAGTCTAAGCAGGGTTAGTTAGCATGCCAAGTACACGAGCTGACCATAAAAACAAGATTAATTCCTAAACACAGGCATTTTGAAAGTGGAAATTACACATCTGCAGCAAAATTGGCGGATTTGTTGCATCTCAAATCTTCCTAGAAATTTCTCTGAGGATAGCTGTTATTGCTGTGCCATGACATGACACATCTGCTGGTTTCCGCCCTGTGCCTATACCACAAATATTCACCAGCAAGCTAGAAATGCTTCTGTGGAACAATGGTTTACAAAGTAGTGAAGCTAAAGTTCCACAGATATGCCTCAGGGCTCCCCGACCCTCCTCTTTATCTAGAAAAGGTTGCTTTCACTTATTTTTATATGTTAGGTTTCTACATACAATAGAGTTAGGAGAAATGCTTCTGCATGAAAATGTATTTTTGAAATCTCTCTTTGCCTCTCACATGTCACATGCCTTTAAATACTAATTATTAATTTTAGCTATTTAAATATGTATTACTAATATTAATTATGTATGTCTTTAAATGTTAAAAACAGCAAATTCTGTCCATCAGGACCAGAGCACAAGTTACAATTTCTGAGTCCAAAAGCTAGAATGAGTTTGCCCTGAAATATACAACTCACTTTTGGCCTTCTGCAAAATAGGTTTAATTCACTTTCATTCAAGGAGTCTCAAAGAGTCCAAGTCCAGTGTCATATTATATTATATTTAATAGATATTTACGTAGCACTGTGCCTAGGAAGATGCTGGGCCTTCATACACAAGCACATTCATCATGGGCACTAAGGGACATTGGAAGACATGTTGAATTCAGAGGACAGCTTAATTTTGAGTTTAACTTACTAGCTTTGCTTCCTCAGACAAGTACCCTAACCTCTCTCAGCCTGTTTTTGATTTCTAACCTCTCTCAGCCTGTTTTGATATAGTGATAGATAAGAAATATGTGGAGAAGTTTCTAAACTGTTATATAAATGTTGTACAAATTATTTCACCATGAGAAAAATTGATAAGGTATCACACCTATTAAAGTTGGTAAAGTTTAGTTCTTCTGTAAAATTACATGTATCTCTGTCATATCATTATGTTGGTTCAGTGCCCAGCAGTGATAAAAGTGTGTTTCCTTGGTGTTTGGCCTAAACTATAACTATGGGCACATACTGAAAGCACACCAGAGGTGAGGGTAAAAATCACGCACTTTGGGAGCCTTAACTCCATTGTGGTGAATGGTCTGCCCTTGCTTCATCAGGTGGGTGAAGAATATTGGTTCCGCCACCTTCTTCTCAACCCCCATGCCAAACTCTGGCGACAGATCTCAGAAATTCTCTTGGTTTAATAAGGATTAAATACAAATAAAGAGGAATCTTGCCTTTAAAGTATATTTACGTTTTGTGCTTTGAAAGGTGTTTTTCTTTGTAAAGCCTGTAAATGTAAAAAACAATTTAAGGGAAGAAATACTCTGATTTCATTTTCTACCAAATATAGTGAATATTATAATGTATAGTATGATGAAACAGAGTTTTGATATTGTGTATCTTTTTCAGTAAATGGAATTTAGCTTTTGAAAATTATAAAAGCCTATTCAGGTATTTGAATCTCAGCAGGTAATGTGAATTTCAGATCAATAAAGCAATCTGATACATTGATGTGAGATTTAAAATTGAGTATATTTTTATTTTATTTCAGACTAAGTCTGTCAGCAAAAATCTGTGAGAAAACAGTACTGAAGCGGGTTTTGAAAGAGCTGTGGAAGCTAGTTCTTAACAAAATAGAAAAACAAATTGTCCTCCCTCCTCTGACAGATCAAACAGTAAGTACTGAAAATTTAGTTATACTTTCCATAACCCAGCTAATTGTTCTGTTTTGTCTCTATGAGTGGTTTTGATCCAGACGAAATACTAATTAAATTCATTTTGGGAAAAAGTGTTTGATATACAGTTTCTCAACAATGATCATTCAAATTACACTTTTTTAATTCAAATCCATTTTAAATAGTAGCAATAGCAGTCAAACTTCACACTTGTTTGACATTCAAAACTTCATCTCATAAAAACAATACTTCATACTTAAAAAAATGTATCAAAGTTCAATTTATGGGGTATCTGGTCAACACATCTAATTTTTTATTTAATTTTACTATGAACCCACATGGAAATAGGTTTACGATAGAATACACCCATTGTATTTCTTTCTTAAATTTTACTATTAAAGGAAATAGTTCCAATACTGCTATATGGAATTTTTTCATATTTCTATTCTACTTTCATCTATTACTTCCCCACTTGGAGGTTAATAGAGTAGACACCTTTTAGTGGATTTCAAGAATGGGATTGTATTACACATAGTGAAATAAAAAAAGAACGAGAATGATCAATTGGAAGCAAAGTTAGACAATGTTCAAGTGGATATACAGTGCCAGGAATCTCAGTTCACATATACTGAGCCAAGCAAGGAAAAAATAACCCTAACGAGCAACTGTTATGGAGTAATCAGGTGTTTGGTTTTGTTTGTTTGTTTCTGTGACTAAGGAATATAAATTGATGCAAATAATGAGTCATTACAAACCTAACTAAAGTACATGTTGACACCATTAATCATGCACACTCAGTCCATATTCATCCAATGAAATTTTATGTATTGCAAATTTCTTCTAATAAAGTGTTCCAAGATGCATATTTTTTTGATTTACTGCCAGACAGTGAGTAATAAAATGTGAATTACTTTGAGTTGTTCTTAATGCCATAAGTGTGTGGTTTAATCATTTACAGCCTACATTTTTTATTTATTTTTTGACAGCAGGTCGGTACAGGGATCTGAACCCATGACCTTGGTGTTATAAGGCTATGCTCTAATCAACTGAACATATACAAATCATACACACACACACACACACACACACACACACACACACACACACACACACACACACACACACACACACACACACACACACACACACACACACACACACACACACACACACACACACACACACACACTTTTTTTCTGCTATAATACATAAGACATAGAACATTTCTGTAACATCAGTTAGCTCTCATGAAATCGATCAACAGGGGAATGATGTCAATATAATCTGGAAGGTGGGTTGGTTTTTATGAAAATTTACCTAGTTAAGAGGCTCTGCAATATAATAGAACTATAACTTCAACAGAAAAGGAAAGAGCTCTCACTTTGTCTACAGCACAGGACTGTTTTAAAAAGAAAGCCCCTGCACATAGATTTCCTCTCCAGAAAGTTGCACCTTGCCTGGCTCTCATACACAGCAGGCTACCCTCCCCCTGTGCTCAGAGCTTTACTTGCATGAGCATTGTCTTAGCCCACAATTGTACTTTATTGTTTTGTTTCTATCTGTTTGTTTTGCATTTTTAATACCCCTTGAGGTAGCCATCAGCCTTTCTTAACTCCCTGCCAGCTATCCAGGCCACCTCCCAAAATAGCAATCATTGTTTTTAATAGTTCTTTGGTAATAAAGTTGCATGGGCTTTGATCGTGCTGTCCACTGCTATTACTCCCCATAAACCCTATTATTTTTAGTGCACAATTTTGTACAAATATGAGGGTTTTCAAGAACTTATATGTCATGTTACAACAGAAATGCTACATACAACATTTCATTTTCTATATCTTCCCTAGAAAAGCTTACCATCACCTGATTCTTTTAGCATTGAAAGCTCTGTGTAAACCTATATCATTTATTCATTCATTTATATTCATTGAATAAGTATTTTTTGAGCTTCTACCATGTAGTAGGTACTGTACTAGGTGCTGGTGACAAAATATGAGCAACATTAGTCATAGTTGCTGCTGCTGTGAACGTTGTCATCTTTAATATCTTAGTGAATATATGAACTCCAATAGAAAATCTAGAGAATATTAGTCTAGAATAGCTGATTTTCCTTACTGTGAAAATATTCCGAGCTACTCATGAACTTGGTTAAATTTAATATTTTTCGAGTCACATATACCAACACACATGTCTCTAGTTTTTCATTCTAGCAGTGCTTCGGATGGTTTATTCCAGTGTTTCTCAAATTCTTTTCCCCAGGACTAGGGCTCTAGAGAAAGCCTTTGGCTGAGGAAGTGGTTATGAGGGAGGGCCTCTAATAAGTGGTACAGCATTTCAGGAGGAGTAGCTCCACCTTCTTCAGGCCTATTACCTTACAATTTTGCATAGATTTCTTTTGGGCGGGAATGGAGTAAGGGAGTTGCCCCTGCTAAAAATAAATAAAGTTAGAGATCACTGATTTAATCAATATGCCACATTAAACTGGCTACATTAGCAGTAACCCATTCAGTAACCCAAACTTAAGACTTTAAGTGGGATACCTATGAAGACTGTTATACTGCCAGAAGGACTAGGTATCTTTGACCCAGTCTCTAAAATAGAGCAATTAAGGGCATCTGGCATAAAAGCCAAAAATATAAGGGAAATAGAGAAAATTCTCCATTGATTATATTTCTTTTGTGACTAATACTGAAGATCTTAAGACTGAGTCTTCTCTCTCTTTTTCTCTGTATTTTTCTAGGGACCCCAGATGATTTTCATCGCAGCTAAGGATCTTGGACAATTATCCAAACTGAAGGTAATAAGAATAAGGAAATTACTGGTCATCCATGAAAAGTAATGAGCTAACTATAGCTGTACAAGAAACCATCCTTCTGCTAGTAATGTTATCTAGCATGGATTAAGAACATGTATGTCTGTGACCTCACAATATTTTTCTAGGGACCCCAGATGATTTTCATCGCAGCTAAGGATCTTGGACAATTATCCAAACTGAAGGTAATAAGAATAAGGAAATTACTGGTCATCCATGAAAAGTAATGAGCTAACTATAGCTGTACAAGAAACCATCCTTCTGCTAGTAATGTTATCTAGCATGGATTAAGAACATGTATGTCTGTGACCTCACAATCCACTTTAAGAACTTTTAACTTTGTATTGTAGCATTCAGCATTATTGCTTTTGGAGTAAATTAGAGAACATATTTTCATCCATATGTTGAACTAGTTTTGCATGAATGAAGGCAGAATGGAATGCTGCATAGAAATCCAGTAAAGTCTAGAGAAGTCTTAACGCCAAGAAATAGAATGTGGGAAAATGAACCTCATCAAAGGAGACATTGAACTTGTCAACATGTTCAACTCCATAATCAGTGGGGATTTGCTGACTAAATAACCCTCCCCTTAATTATCACTTTAGATTCCCACAATTTGGAGTTATACAGGAAACCTCAGTTCCCATCTGTCTAGGAGAGAAACTTGACTGGTTAAAATAAATGTTGTTTTCATTCCATTTCTACCTCCTAAAATATAATTAAGGGGCTGGGTCCATACACATGTTCCAGACTCTAGTTTTTCATTCTAGCAGTGCTTTGGATGGTTTATTCCAGTGTTTCTCTAATTCTTTTCCCAGGACCTAGGGTTCTAGAGAAAGCCTTTGGCTGAGGGAGGGGTAAAGAGGGAGGGTTTCTATTAAACTGGACAGCATTTCAGGAGGAGCAACTCCACCTTCTTCAGCCCTATGTCTTATAAGCCTGTATATTCCGTCCTATATCTTATATGACCTTCGTTCAAATTCTTTCTTAACTGCTTTCAACTATGTAATATCGGCCAACGTATTTAACCATTCCAATCTTCAGATGTGGCATTTGTAAAATGCAGAAAATTTTAACACTTGGTTCATAAGATTGTTTTGAGAATAAATGAGATAATGCATATATTATCTTTGCTTGGTAACTGCAAAGAATATGCCACCTCCCACTTATAGAGGACGCAATCTCATTTCTCCCCAGCTGGTAGCTAATAGTCAGATATCACTTGGTATTGTTGTGTCTATAACACAGGCGAAGGACAACCAATGTGCATAATTATTTACTGAGATAAAATATGTGCCTTACAATTTCAGTATCCTATTTTATCCCCTTCCTTAGAAAAAATTATAAAACCAATAATTCATCTAAAAGATATAACCATCACCTAAAATTGTTTCTCACAGGTGTTCAGTGCTGTTNGTGTCTATAACACAGGCGAAGGACAACCAATGTGCATAATTATTTACTGAGATAAAATATGAGCCTTACAATTTCAGTATCCTATTTTATCCCCTTCCTTAGAAAAAATTATAAAACCAATAATTCATCTAGAAGATATAACCATCACCTAAAATTGTTTCTCACAGGTGTTCAGTGCTGTTGATGGTTGGGAGGGAAGATAGAAGGTAGATGTCACTGCCAAACCATTGTTTTGGATCTTGGATCTCTGTCCCTTTCTTTATCACTTTTATTGCCTTCCTGAGATTTCTGGACTCTACTTTAAAAAATGGATTTATACAGTGCTGAAGTTTCTCATATAAAACAATGAAGGTGAAACAGCATGACTCTCATTACGAAAGAGATGGCCCTGGCCATGCATCTAGCATCTGTATGATATTAGAAAACATACTCCATCTCCCCAGGCTCTAGTTTTCTGAGTTGAATAATTACATCAGCTAGAACTGTTTCAGTTTCAAGTGACGGAAAGCCAAACTAACATAAGCAAAGAGGGAATTTATTGCTACATGAAATGTTATAGTCCAGGATAACTCTGGTTTCCATTACTGCTTAATTAGGAATTCAAACAATGTTACAGGTCCTGGTTACTCACTACCTCTCAACTCTGCTCTTCCCCTTGTGTAATGTATTACCCTGACAGACCTTTCTTCCTGTTTGTAAGATGGTTGTCTCTGCTTTTACATCCTTTGATGTAACATCCTTTGAATTTCAAATCATGTAGAAAAGAACATCCATCTCAGTCCGAGGAATGCCAGTAAAGTCTACTGGCACATGAGCGGCTTCCTAAGCCAATCACAGTGGCCTGCAAAGACATGTGCCAATTGGCTTAACTCACATACCCACCCTGAGCTGGGGGTGAAGTCAACCCTGTCAAATCTTATGAACTCTGAGTGGGATAGATACTGGCTCTCCAGAGGATACGAATATGAGGGTACTTCAAAAAGTTCATGAAAAAAATAGAACTGAAAGATAATACAAATCTTTCTATGATCTTTTTGAACTGTATATGCATGCTGGGTGAGAAAAATCAAAGTTCACAGGAAACAGCACTTTAGCACCCTTTGTGGCCCCAAAATCTTTTCAATTCAGTGAATTCTCTTTTAATTATAATAACCTAAAAGCAAACTTTAAATAAAGTGACCTAATAGGGCTATTTCATCAACATTAAAATAATCTGAAGGACTGAAATTAGAATCTTATTATCCTCCGTAGGTAATATGAAAGTACCTTAGTTCTAGATCATATTATTCTATTGTTGGCCCTTGATTTTTTATTTTTAAATTATTAGTTAATTTAGTTGTTGTTGAATTATAGAGCAATAAATCCTTTACAATCTCATACAAAAAAATGAAATTTCACCTGGCATAGAGAACGCTTACAAATTTTCCAAAACCATTTTCCCATATTTTATTAGAATGTCACTTTTTTAATAATTTTATACCATGGGTCTTTAGATTTTTAATATATGAGTTTGAAAGCAGATTTGATGTGCTGGAAATGTACTATTTGAAATGATTGCACTGACAGATAATGTCATAACTCCTATATAGAAATATTAATAGATAACTACCTTACTCAAGAAAAATAGAAAAATGTGGGCAACTAATTATTTTTCAGCATTTGACTATGATTTAGAATTAATTTATTAAACAAGTACTAATTTAACAGTTTGACATATTCTACAGTGTTTCATACTCTGGAACTTCATAATGTAGGTATATTATATATATACCTGACATTACTACTTAATAAGATCTGATTCATTTGTCATAAAATAAAAGAAAATGAGCACAAATCATCACAGACCAGTGATACAATATCAAAAACAATTGATGAAAACACATCTAGAACTGTAAGTTTACTGCAAGATTTTTACTTGGGCAATAATTCATTGTTGACCTCTCTCAGAGACCCCGAATATGAGGGTACTTCAAAAAGTTCATGAAAAAAATAGAACTGAAAGATAATACAAATCTTTCTATGATCTTTTTGAACTGTATATGCATGCTGGGTGAGAAAAATCAAAGTTCACAGGAAACAGCACTTTAGCACCCTTTGTGGCCCCAAAATTTTTTCAATTCAGTGAATTCTCTTTTAATTATAATAACCTAAAAGCAAACTTTAAATAAAGTGACCTAATAGGGCTATTTCATCAACATTAAAATAATCTGAAGGACTGAAATTAGAATCTTATTATCCTCCGTAGGTAATATGAAAGTACCTTAGTTCTAGATCATATTATTCTATTGTTGGCCCTTGATTTTTTATTTTTAAATTATTAGTTAATTTAGTTGTTGTTGAATTATAGAGCAATAAATCCTTTACAATCTCATACAAAAAAATGAAATTTCACCTGGCATAGAGAACGCTTACAAATTTTCCAAAACCATTTTCCCATATTTTATTAGAATGTCACTTTTTTAATAATTTTATACCATGGGTCTTTAGATTTTTAATATATGAGTTTGAAAGCAGATTTGATGTGCTGGAAATGTACTATTTGAAATGATTGCACTGACAGATAATGTCATAACTCCTATATAGAAATATTAATAGATAACTACCTTACTCAAGAAAAATAGAAAAATGTGGGCAACTAATTATTTTTCAGCATTTGACTATGATTTAGAATTAATTTATTAAACAAGTACTAATTTAACAGTTTGACATATTCTACAGTGTTTCATACTCTGGAACTTCATAATGTAGGTATATTATATATATACCTGACATTACTACTTAATAAGATCTGATTCATTTGTCATAAAATAAAAGAAAATAAGCACAAATCATCACAGACCAGTGATACAATATCAAAAACAATTGATGAAAACACATCTAGAACTGTAAGTTTACTGCAAGATTTTTACTTGGGCAATAATTCATTGTTGACCTCTCTCAGAGACCCCCTTATTTATTTATTTTTTCTGAAACAAAAGCACAAAGCTAAATTTATTGTTTACTTAAGAAAGGAAGAACTATGCTGCCCATGCACAAACTCCCCATGTTCATATATGTAACATAAGAACAACTTATGTTACATAAGACTTCTGGGAAGCATGAAGTCCAGGACTGGAAGATTTACAGAAGCAGAGGTGGAATAACATTGGCTATGGAAGCATGGCTACTTGGGTTAGACTGTTAGCAATAATTGGGTTTTTCTTTTCTTTTTTCTTAAATTATTTATTGTTTTATGTTTTTGGCCACAAAACAAGTCTTAATAGATTTAAAAAGGCAAAGATCATAGAAAAATATGTTCTCTGACCACAATAACAGAACAAAATTTAGAAAATTCACAAATGTGTGGTAATTAAACACTCTCCTAAATAAACAATGTGTAAAATATATATATCTCAAAGGAAATCAGAGTGTATTTTGAGATAAAAATGAAAGTGCAACATATTAAAATTCATAGGATGCTGGGCTCACGCAGTGCTTAGAGGAAAGTTTACACTTGTAAACAAGTATATTAAAATGCTATGTTCTTTTTTAAGTTATTAACTTCTTTGTAAATTTCCTCCTTCATATCCTGGATTTTTTGTTTGTCTGTTTCATTATGTTGTCAAACTGAGTCTTCTCCTATCTCAGTGAGTTTCCTTAAGATTGTTGCTCAGAATTCCTTTTCAGTTATTTCAAGGGTTTCCTGCTCTATAGGGTCTGGTATTTGAGAATTACTGTATTCTTTCGGTGATGTCATATTTTCTTCGATTTCCACATTTCTAGTATCTGTGTTGATGTCTGGTCATCTGGTAGAGCATTTGCTTCTTCTATTACTCTGGAGTGGCCTTTGAGAAGAGAGATGTCCTCTTCTTTTTCTAGTCAGTGCTGGTGATTCTTTTTGTGTCGATGTAGTTGAATGGTGGGCTGCCTGCATGGTAGTTGTGGCTACTGCTGTGGTGTCCACTGCTTTTGCAGCACCTATGGCTGTGGTGATAGCTGTGGTGGGCCACCCATGCAGGAGTGGTGTTTTTGGTATGCTCCTGGGGATGCTGCCCTCGGCTCCTGCCTTAGGAGCCTGGGCAAGCTGTATCTTTTGCCTGCATCTGGGCAGAGGGGGCTGGCCCTCAGTTCTTGCCTTAGGAACTCAGGCATGCTCTTAGAGACCCCCTTATTTGAATGAGTTGTGAAATCCCAGAAAAGTATTTCTAGCAAGAATTATATTTTTCTAAAGCACCAACATAGATCATTTATTAGTATCTGTTAAGAAAAGTAATATGACCACATCATAAAGCCAATCAAGATTGATGAAGCCTGAGAGACTTATTTAAAATAAAATATTCATATTTCCTTGTCCCCATGCATTTTCCCCTATAACTCAGCAGCATTTCCTATTACTCTTTAGGTCTCAATGGATATTTAATATTACTATTTGGAAATATTAAATGAACTCATATGTTTAAGTTGAAATCCCTATATCAGAAAAAGATGCAGTAAGAAGCATAACTGTATATCATGAATCCATGAAACATTACATCATATTTTCAACAATATTCAAGATAATTATTCCATTCAAGCATGTTAGATCCTATGAGATATGCTGAAGGAAGTACAATTCAATTATCAAAAATATATCTAATGCCTAGCAGGTGACAATTGCCAAGGTATACACTGAAAGCAAAGAAGTTGGTTAGACATACACATTATCCTCAGGAAGTCATGACATTTACTAGACAACATAATGAGAAAAAGGGCAGAAGAGAAGTAACTGGCTGTGATTGCACAGTTTATGCATTGCACAAAAGTGCCTGATTAAGGGAACAATTGATGACTAAAATCAAGTCCGTGCTCCACTTGCCAAGCTATGTGTGCTGACTTGGAGCTGTACCCACATAGAAGAAAAGATGCCTTTTATTATGACCAAAGGCACTCATCCATTAATCAAGCCATGCATTCTCAGAGCTGTGTCCACCCATATGGGTCTTTTCTTGTAATTCACACAAAGGCATTTACATAAGTTAGAATTTAAGCTCCAGGAGGAAAAAAGTCTTCCTTTTGTTGAACCATATATCTCAATCACCTAGAACAGTATCGACATAATAAGTACTCAGCAAATATTTGTTGAATGTTGTTGAATACAATAGTGTGGCCCTGGGGAACACAATTTGGGGGGGTCAGGAATTTAAAAATTTTTCTCTTAGAAAAATTTCTATCTCCTTTATTATTTTCTCTAACTTTCTACCATCACGTTTCTAAATAAGCTTTGAATTGTGGGTTCAAACAGACCACAATGAACAATGAAAAAAAATTGTAAAATATAAAATCAGTTTCAAAATTAGTTCTAAAATATTAAAAATAATCATAAAAAATAGAAAATCTCCAAAGCGAGCCAAATTCAGTAAATTCTTTGGGCCTTTTCTCAATAATGAGTAATCATTAAGGAGATCTGAGAAAGGCAATAAAGTGGGGGCATTATATTTGAAATAGACTTTATCAGTAGTAATTAGGAGAGGCTAAAATTTACCTCTTAAATTCCTTCCATGATTGACATTCCTCAATGTGACAGACAAGAAAGAATTCAGGTGAAAAAGATTCAATTTTCCAGGCTTCCCTCTTTTTTTTTTCTTACATTAACTTACAGGTGAAAAAAACAAAGCCATATCTCTAACAAAATACTACTTTTTAAGTAAACATTTAACAGTTCTTCCTTTGGCAAAATGGATGTTTTTACATATATAATAAAATAGGTATTTTAAATGCATCCATATGAAGAAGATATTTCAAATAGGAAATGTTTGAATATGGGAATTATATGGATTTTGTTTGATAGTAGTTATTAAATGAACTGGTTATTTTATAAGCAATTATTAACCTGTTTTCCAGGAGCACATGACTCGGGAGGATACCAAGGGTTTGACACCAAGACAATGTGCTATAATGGAAGTGGTCCTGGCCACCATCAAGGTAAGGTTACAGTCCCCTGAATATGCATCCAGAGAGCCTCCCATATAACCCCACGCATAGGTACCCCTGACGCATATCTATGGAGCTGTGCCATCCATACATTTAGTACGTAGTTGAATTGATACATTCTAGGAGTATATCAGATTTAGCCCTTTCCATCTCCTTGTTACATGCATATTACCCTGTCCTTACACCTGCTCACTTTGTCTTTCTCTAAAAAATGTGTGTGAAACCTATGTTGTAACATGTTTTCAAAGAAGACATGTATCCCCCAAACCCAGTTAAACAGATGCTTTGAGAGGATTTGGGGTTAACAGAATTTGTTTTTATGTTTTCTATGCTTGTTGAAATGATTTTTAAAAAATCAACCTTCTCCACTCGTAGTAAGTACAATAATTTTATTTTATTTTCTGCTGAAAACTTGAAGGCATTGTGTTGTGTGCAGTTAACAGAATTCGTTTTTATGTTTTCTATGCTTGTTGAAATGATTTTTAAAAAATCAACCTTCTCCTCTCTTAGTAAGTACAATAATTTTATTTTATTTTCTGCTGAAAACTTGAAGGCATTGTGTTGTGTGCATCAGTTTTTCATAGCCAAAGGTTGACCAAAAGTTATTGTACTGTGTGCTAAATGTGTACAGATCTCAAGATGTAACTTAGAAATTATTTGTTTTCATGTAATTCCTTTTATATCCATTTTTTTATATTTATATGTGAAACTTTATGAAAGAGTTTGAAAAGTTAATTTATTTTCTAAATTCAAACTATGCCTAATGTTTTCACTCTTCACCAGGGAAGCATCTATTATCCAGGATGTATAAACAGTATAACAAAGAACTGTTAACTACCACGAGCCATTTGCAGAGCACTGGATAGCAACAGACATTACAATGATATTCATTAAAATAGAGTTCAGTCTGAATCACTATTGCATATTTTCACAAAAGTGTTACATCATGGCTTTTGTTTTGCAGTTTCAGCATTTAAAATGAAGCCATCTTTTGCTGCTGCAGTGTTGAAAACTGTAAATAAAAGTTGTGAGATGAGAATTTTGTGACACCTGGTAGCAATTGGGGAGTGTGAATTTAGGCAATGAGATAACAAAAATGGAGTTTATAAGGATACGGAAGAATTTTGTCTGAAAATATGGAAACTTTACAAACAATGTTAAGGAAAAATGGACTACAGGAAAAAACTTCAAAAGTTTTTTAAATATTATTTTCAAAAATTTGAGAATGAAATGACTAATTTTGGGAGTTGTAAGAGCACTAATAGCTACATATAAGTGCTAGTAGAAAAAAAATACAATCTCTAACATGCACCATGAAGAGATTAAGAAAAAAAATGTAATTTTTTTTAGAATCTGAATCCAGCCCTTCATGAACTTTATTAAGTAAGCACATGACTTTAGGAGAGAAAATAAAATAAGTTTTGTGGAAGCAGGGAATGTCATTTTAAGTATTGACAGACCTGGCTCCTGTCCCCAACTCCAACATTTCTCTAATTATTCTTAGTGGTGCCACATGACCACCACCTGCAGGCCAGGTTCTGCCCAGACTCTGAGACTGTATTGATCTCCAAGCAAATCCCTTTGACCCACATCTTGACAGCTCAATATCCTGTCTTCCTCTTCAAGTCGTCAATGACAATCTTTGAATTCAGTCTCAGCCACCAGATGCTTGTCTTTTTCTTTGGGGACAAAACTACTATCTAGTATTCAAGAGCCAGTAAATAGGTCCATGTCACTGTCTTCTTCCTTCAGGACTGGAATCTGACTGGTTCTTCTGAGCCTCAGATCGTGTGGTCAGGTCTCCAGTGCCCCTATTCCCTAACTTCTGTGATGCCAACTCTTTTTCTGGGAATCTCCATGCTAGGCTTGCCGTGCCTGCTGTGAGACTCTCTTGACACTGTGGTCTGCCTATGTGCCAAGGTATTTACCTGATATCTGCTTTTCAATGGCCCTGTCATCAGTTTGCCTTTATCTTGTGTGCCTCTGAGATTTGCCCCAATGGACTGTCCTACCAAGGACTAATTCTGATGTTGACTACAAAGGGATTCAAGAGAACGAAAAGCACTATTTAAAAGAACTGTAACTCTAGCTGTAAAAGAGCTAAAGATTCAGTGTCTGCCTGGGGTCCAGCAACAGGAGCACTTATAATGCAAGCAGAGACCTCATGGAAAAGATGTTCTTAGGTCAAAGCAGCAGATGCTACCCAGGCTAATTCCCAATGGCTGCCAAAGAGATGATCTTTAATTCCTCCTAAGCTCAATTTAATCAAATAAGCTGGAAATGAGAAAGTGAGAAAATGAAGAAGGAGAATGCTAAGGAGCTTGTAGAATATCGGCTGAAATAATGTTCTGCATTTTTTCATGTCTCATGTACGTACATCATCTCCCCTGATCTTTATAAACATTCTGAGTGTTAGGTAGGTCAAGACTGATCATTCACATTTTATAGATAAGAGAATTAAAGGAAAGAAGGTTTAAGTTGTTTGTCCAGGCTGCTCATAATTAGTAGAGATGAGAAATGACACCAAACTCTAAAGTCACTGTCCTTGCTTCTATGTCACATTATTTCATTAAATGTTTACAAAGTGTGAGTAAAATGTAGCAGGCCAAAATGGATTATATTTCTTCAGAGAGATGACTTCTTTTTATATTAAAATACCATATTTCAATTACTTAGATTATTTTCTAATTATTTGAAAACAATTAAAAATCTTTCAGCCCCTATACAAGTATTTATGAAAATATCAGTTCTCTTAAATTCTAAAACTTTAATTCAGCTGGTACTATTTTGTCACACCAGTCACTTGTAATTTTTCAATTATAAGTCAAGAATGTCAAATATGACAGAAGTAACAGAAATTATGATCATCTGCTACAGGTAGGATGGTTGAGCTTTGACACATACTATTCACCTGCCAAAGCAGCCAAATCAATAGTATTTGAAAGTAAAAGTGATAAGGTGGCAGCTATGAGACAGCTAATAGATAACCTAGTCAGTTTGTGCATTTTGTGTTGCTATAACAGAATTACCTGGGACTAGATAATTTATAAAGAACAGAGCTTCATTTGGCTTATGTTTCTGGGACAGCTGCATCTGGCACAGGCCTCAGGCTGTTCTACCCACGGCAGAAAGTGGCAGACAGCCAGAGTGTACATGCAGAGCACATGGTGAGAGGAAGTGAGAGGGAGAGGAGGTGCCAGGGTCCTATAAACAACCAACTCTCGCAGGAACTAATAGAGCAAGAACTCACTCATTACTCCCCCCACCCAGAGAGAGCACTAATCCATTCATGAGGGATCCACCCCCATGACTCAATCAGTTTCCAACACTGCCACATTGGGGATCAAATTTCCACATGAATTTTGGTGGGGACAACACATCCAAACTCCATCATTCTGCCCCTGGTCCCCCAAAACTTGTCATTCTCACATACAAAATACAATCATTCCATCCAAACAGTCCCAAAAGTCTTATATTGCTCCAGAACCAACTTAAAAGTCCAAAGTCTCATCTGAGACCAGAGGCTAAACTCCTTCCAGCTGTGAACCTGTAAAAATCAAAGACAAATTTATCTACTGCCAAGATACAATGGTGGAACAGACATTGGGTACCCACTCCTGGAGAAGCCACTAGGGAAGCCCTAGTTTGAAGAGGTCTTAGTTGGGCTTCAAGTCCCAACCACATTTCTCAAGAAGACTCAGGACTGCCGTGAGATTCCCTGAAATGTGGGTTTCTTTCAAAGAGAAACAGGAGACCTTTTCCCAATTGCTGGTATCCTTTGACTTGAGCATGAATCCAAAGACTTTATGAAATTCTTCAATCTTGGACAAACCTCATTTTATGATGAAGTCTGAAATACCCAGAAAAAAAGATGGCTGGTTTTATTTTTCTCACCCTTTCAAATTCCCCTGGAACACTCATTACATGTAGTTGAACATGACACTCTGCAGTATATGTTGCAGATATATCTGACACCATGCAGTGACAATACAAAGATTTCTCTAAAAATAATAAGCATGTGGATCAGGGTTCTTTAAGAATCTGAATTTCTTGGTATAAAAGAGGGAATTTAGACTAAATATGAATTCAAAATAGCTTTGGAATTTACTTACTTTCTTATTTAATCCTAGATAACATTATTTCTTACCCTCAGGATTCCAGACAAACAGAAGAATATGGTGATAAACCACATTTTAGGCCTCTGAGTTTCTGACCGTGACTGAGGTCCTACCCTACCCTGCTGTCCATTATCCATGAGGCAATTTTAGTGGCTGCTTCTCAGCATCTTCTTTTTTATCATTATAAATACAGTTTCTGCATTATTTAAAATTCAGCCACTCACGGGAGGAACAAAATAATCTATCTAGTTTGGAGTACTGCAATTCGAAAATTGTTATCTGAGAGCTTCCTGTATGAGAAAATAAGGTGAACAGCAAGGAGGTGGCTGGAGATGAGAGGTCTTGCCTTTGACTTGGGAACAAAAACATCTACTGTCAATAAAATAAAAGAATTATGGACAAAGTGCTGGGGAGTGCAGAGAGGGTGATGAATTTTCTCTGCATGTCTAGTGGAAAGCTTTCTGGAAAGGGAAGTTTTGGAATTTAGAAGATGAAGAAGGGCAAAACAATGGGAAAAAGGCATTGTAGACCTAGAGAAAAACATAAGTGATATAGACAAGGTATTTTTCAGCCTGAGAACTTCAGTAGTCTAGTGTAGAGAAACAGATCATGACTGGCGACTGTCACAGGGAAGGAAAGAGGAACATTGGATTGGAGCAAGGATGCTGAGGCTTAAACACCACGGTAAAGAATCTCAACTTTAGTTTGTCAGCAAAAAGAGAAACGGCAATACATTTTATGGGAGAGAGTGGCATATTCTAATCTGATGTATAAAGAGACAGTGCAGCAGAAAATAATTTTTGAATATCTATCAAGTAATTTCTAAAAAAAAAAAGTAAACTTTAGATGGTTAAAGATAGGTTATAATTATGT